AACACTTCAGTGAGACCAAGGAGAAGGCAATGTGATACAAATCAATATGGCATCCCCTAACCATCCAGCTCAAAAGCATGAACATCCAAACTCCTAAAAGTGGCTAATATAACGAGAAGCAAAACAGTAAGAATAAGCAGTGGCTAGTCCACCTAGTTATGTTTCTTTTTATATATTCGCGTTGGCGTTGTTTTTATATAATCAGATTTCTCGAGTGTAGCATTAATCCAAATTAATGAAACATTGCAAATTCTAAACTACCCATTTCTTTATGATTGTTTAAGGTAACAACGAGTTTGAGGTACGATCGAAGAGATCAAGGCTTCAGCACAAAGACTTAAGGATGTTGTCACAAGCGCCATGTGTGTATGACCACAAGAATCAGATCCCCACATCATAAAGCACACACACAAAAAGTTATAAAATCACTAAAATAGAAATAAAAGTCCCCCTCTGGAAGCTAGTTATTCCAGAGGCTGCGGTGGGTTATCCATACGCCGACCTCAGATCAGGTTTTCACCTAGGAAAAGGAAGGAGGACTAACCTTTGGTCAGGAACATCCATGGAGACATCCAACAAAACTCGAGGGAATACCTCGTAAGTTTTCATGAAATCTAAAACTCTGCATTCAGGATCAAACATACATACCTCAACTAGAGGATGGTGAAAATGATCAATTTGTTGCAAGGCGCTCTCAAAAGACTCAGAAACAGCCCCAAGGCTGGCCCTGGAACACTTAGTTAAAAGTTGAGTTAAATATGATTTTTTATAGGTGTAGATACTCTATATCTCTTTGAACTGCCGAAAGAGACGCCTGGGTATATGCCAAAGTAGCTCGAGCATAATCTAGAGACTTGTCTTTCTTCGTTGCACCTCTCAGTAAAAGAGTTATCTCGTCTGCAAAAGAATTAGTAAGACTAAGGAGGTGTAAAGCATCATATATTACTCAAGATAATACCCTATTAAGTTATCTAAGTAAGAATAATTTTCCTCTGAGGGAGAGGACCAATGCTCTTTAGATGGACGAAGAGTCGACCCAGTAAACTGTTCTGAAGCAGGAGGACCTGACGAGTGCAACGGTGATCAGGAAATACTCAAAGTAGCAACATTCCTAGAGGATTCTAGGGGTGGAGAGACACTGGCCCCTTTGAAATAGTAAAAGGTCCCGCTACAGTTTACGCCATCCAGATTCCCCGCCTTAAAATGTAGAGTGTTTCCTCATCCTTCATGAAATCTCCAAACAATCATGCAAAAAGTAAGCTCGTTGCAAAAAATTGAGTTGGTAACAAAAAGTCAAGGGAACCTATGAAATACCAAAAATAGTTTTATTCTATTCCTTGGTGCAGGTATCCATTAGTAGTCGAGTATCGATAATGTGTTTCTGGAGTTTTTGAGAAGCTTCATCCCGAAGAATAATACCCCTAAGATAACCCAGATCCTTAACAAAACTCATCAGACATTTATTCAAATATGACTCTTCTTGAGAAAGGCCATCCCTTTTGTAGAAATACAACCCATTTCCCATTAGGAAATGAATCTCATTCCAGTACTTGAGAAACAATTCAACACATTTACCCCTCATTCTATCTTTGGCAGCACATACTATCACATGAGCCTCTTAATGATTAGGGATAACCATGAATAATCACTACTTAAAATGCTTCAAGTTCTCTAAAAAAAGCCTCCAAAGTCAGGGTAGTCGGCACTAGGGAAATTAACCCATAACCTCATGCCTGAGTCAAAAGGCCACACTGGACTCTAAAGAGATGGGGAAAAAAGGGTCAGAAAAGGCCTCCTATTCAAATATTCGCAAAAATACTGGAATAGTTTCACACATTCCCAACTCACAATATGAAGCTGCGATGAAGCAACTATTAAGTGCTTAAGAACTTCCATTTCAAAGCCTTTGAAGGGTAATCAAATACGTAAGATCGAGAAAACGCATTTATAAAAAGGGATGGCATAATCACCATACTCTTTCAAATTCTTTCATTTTTTCCAAAGGTCAAAACACCCCAATTAAAAGATGGACCAACATCTAAAAAGGATCCATCAAGTTATCCTCTCGGGCGAAGAGAGAAACAGTTGAAGAATAAACAACATCCACCCAAGAAGCGCGAACATCTTCCTTTTACTTTTGACTCAGGATGGATTTAATTTTCTCTTAGCATGAGAAAGGTAAATATCAAAGGAAAGAAGATAACATTGAAATAGGGAAGATACCTCAAGAAAATGGGAAATTGACTCTTCAAAAATAATTTGTGGGCATAACTAGATCATATCAATGCTTCAAGTCACTTACACACAATAATCAAGTGTTCAAGCTCCCAGGGGTATAATAAGGAAACCTCCAAAAAGACATTTTAAGCATGGGAAATTGAAGGCGTGAATTCCCAAAAAGCAAAAATTCCTTCTCTTGATCTTCCAAAGTAGTCAGCAAGAATAGTCATCAGACGAGGCAGATATGACATGCAGAAACAAGGACTTGTGGAAAACTGTTGTAGGATGACCACAATGGTCATCATCCTACCACTAAAATAAGGTGTTATTCATCTAGAGCCTTCTCAGTGCATGAGAGTTGTCCAACAGATGAATATAGGTGATCCAAATCCCAGATATATCTAACGACTCTTTGTATCACACATCTAGAAAATAATGGATTATTATAACCGCCACACTATATGTGTGTGTGTGTGCGCGTGTGTGTGTGTGCCACAAGCCACGTCTAGTTTTGTGGTCAACTATTATCCTGCTAGAGCTCCTAGGTAAAGCTTAGAATTACGAGATAGTAACGTCCTACTAGATCCTCGTGCACCAAGTATAGAATCATAAATATTTGATCATACTATTACATGGTACAACTCACGTCTAATTTTTGGTCGTATGTGTATGAGGTCATGCTTAGTGTCATATACACCCATCAAGATCTTTATGATCTTTTAGGAAATACACTTATGACATTTCAAGGAATAAAATCAAGGTATATGTCCCTCAACTATTCAATGACCTATCATAAAATGAATCAAGGCATATATCCCTTGACCATTCGGGTTTTTCAAACATATATTGAAGTCAAGGCGTAGGACCCCTGATGATTAACTATTTAGGGTTTTTCTTTCGTTGTCTTCAGAGATGAAAATGAGGGGGGAAATGAGACGTTAGAGAAAATAAAAGCTTAAATAGACAAGAAAATATGGAGAAAAAAATTCCTAGGAATGTGGACAGATGGAGTGTTTGGAGCCAACGAATAACCTCAAAGCAAGGAAAAACTAATAAAATGTTAAATTCTAGTTTAGTGGTTACTCAATGATCTTGGAATTTGTGGTAATGATGGGATGTCGTTTGTACGCTTTCAGACGTGACGTTTTGGTAAAAGTTAGTCATGATGATTGACAATAGGCATGACGGGGATGACATGGTACAGAATATGAACAACGACAAAGTGATTACAAAAAAAGTCACCTTTTTCCCTTCAGATATGGGTCGACAATGACATTTTTGGGGGAGCATCTGTTACACTTGGATTTTTCAGCTAGTAGAAAGTCAACAAAGAATGTCAATAAAAATATATTTGTTGTAAGAAAGCATTAATGAAATGTATCAACGAGAATTAGTGATGAAGTATCGACAGACTAATAACGAGGGATCGACCAAGCTGTCCACATAAGAAAACATGGTTTGGAGGAATCTCAGGGATAAATCCACAAGACCAAGATCGTTGGGAAGCATGTCCAAAATCTCGAAAAGGGCGGTTAACAGGGGCCTTTATTTTAGAAAGAAGATCAGTCGACTTAACCACGTAAGGTTGAAAGACTTAGTAAATTTATGAGTTTAGAGTCCTTAGTAGGTAGCATCGACAACACGTTGGAACCATCAGGGGTTTGTGAGGAAGTTGGAAGCAATTACAACTCAACGTGGGTTTTAAACAGACATAGTCGTGGATGACACGTAAACACGTTAGTGAGAACCTGAAGATTGAACGTAGGGCAAATGCAGAAGTCTCCTAGTGGTCATAAACATCGTCGATAGTTATTTTTTTAAATAGAGTAAATAGTAGACTCATACATGAGATCAAGGGTCGAAAAAATTCATACATACTCTCCATACCACTGGAGCACCTAAGTCAAATAACGAAACAGTTGAGCGAGAAACAAGTATGTGTCTCCTTCCAATCTTTTAATCAGTTTTTTTGCTTCCTTAAACAAAACATTTACTTTCACTTTTTCTTTGTTTAATGTCATTTATTGCATTATACCTTGTCATTTATCACAACTTAGTCTCATCTAAAGTCTTTTTCTATGTCGTTATCGTTCACGTGACGACTGCATTCAATTCACACGCATGTGTGTTCACACTAATCATTTGCACAAATTGCTTTGGAGATTTTTCAAGTTAATCTCATAGACTTTTTAAATTCGTGATTGTTTATCAAAAACACCGGTAAACAATATGTCTTCTCTTTTAAATATGTTTTTATTTCATCAACATTTTATTTAATTTTTGTAAAAAATTATTCTACTAACAGTTTTAATCTCTACTAAAAACAAAATGTTTAAATTAGTAAAAATTAAAAATATATTTAATTTTAAAAATATGTATGAATAAAATTATACAAATCTCTTTTATATTATTAGGATGTTTCTCCTATATACCAAGATCATAATCAAAACTACTCTAATATAAATAAACATTTAAAGCTAACACAATGCAAGTAAAAGGACAACGTATTTAAAATTTTGAATAAAAAAAAATATAAGAAACTATAAAAAATAATATTATGGAATTACACTCCATATTAGAAATTCTTCCTTGTCAAACTTCTTTATGAGTATACAATCTACCATCTATTATGGAAGTACTCATGTCTAAAGCCTATAAAAAAAATTACTCATGTCCAAATCACTTCTTATGAGTATACAATCTACCATCTATTAATATGATTGTATTCGAACCAACTCTCTTTGTGTCATAATTTGACGAATAACACAGTGAAAATAATAATGATTCCTCGTGTTCTATGTTTTAGTAAAAACAAAGGAATTAGCAAGTTGGTTAAAGGAGTCAATAGCTTATTCATTACACTAGTTTCAAAAGTTGATAATTCGGTTAAGTTGTTTGAGTTTCGGTCAATCTCATTGGTTGGGAGTATGAACAAGGTGCTAGTTAGATTATTTGCAAATAGGTTGAAGAAGGTAATTTATAAAGTGGTGGCTAAATCGCAATTTGCTTTCTTGGAAGGGAGACAAATAGAAGATTGTATCCTTATTGCAAATGAGTTAGTGGACATTGCAAAGAGGAGAAAACGAGAAGCTATGTTGTTTAAAGCTGATTTTGAAAAGGCTTTCGATTCGGTGGATTAAAATTTTATTGATTATTTGATGGTAAAGACGGGGGTTCAATGAGAAGTGGAGAAAATGAATTAACGAATGTTTAAGAATAGCAAGCATGTCTATATTGATTAATAGAAGTCCTACTGAAGAAATTGTTATGGGTTGAGGATTGAAACAAGACTTACTGCATATGTTATGTCGGGTCTAATACAGACCATAACATACATCAAAGATCCCACTATATTAGCATATGGAATGTTATTAATATAAGCTCTTTCGACATTAATGTTGGGACACTGATCTATACTCAGCTTGAATTGAGAGTTTGTCGGAGTCGCAACAGGCTTTCAATTCAACATACCATACTTTTTGAGAATCCTCTGTAGATACGCCTCTTGTGATAAGCATAATTTCAACTGCTTTCTATCTCTTCAAATGTCAATCCCAAGAATCCTGGACGCATCTCCTAAATCCTTCATGTCGAACTCCTTATTGAGTTCAGTCTTCACCCTCATTACATCTTTGACATTGTTGCTTGCTATTAGAATATCATCCACATAGAGCAACAAAATAACAAATGAATTACTAAGTCGAAATCTAAAGTAAACACAGCGGTCGAACTGACTTCTAATGAAAGTTATGTGTGTCATAAACTTGTTGAATTTCCTATTCCACTGACGAGGAGATTGTTTCAGTCCATATAAAGACCTCTTCAGCTTGCACACACAATCTTCCTTCCCTCTTTCGACATACCCTTCAGGTTGCCTCATCAGGATTGTTTCATCTAGATCACCATACAAGAACGCAGTCTTCACATCCATTTATTCTAGTTCAAGGTCGAACTGTGCCACTGTGGCAAGCAACATTCGAACGGATCTGTGCTTCATAATAGAAGAGAACACATCATTAAAGTCAACACATTATTTCTGAGTGAGACCCCTAGCGACCAATCTTGCCTTGTATCTCTTCGACGCCACTCCTTCTATTCCTTCCTTAACTTTGAAAATCTATTTAGAACTGACTAACCTGGCTCCAGCAGGTTTCTTGATCAGTCCTCAGGTGTTGTTATCATAAAGAGATTTCATCCCATCATCCATGGCTTTCAGCCATTCATTCTTATTTTGACTCCTCATAACTTCCTTATAGTCTCTAGGTTCTTTGTCTAGAACCTCACTTGCAGAGATTAAGGCATAGGCTATAAGATCTGCATACCCAAGTCTCTGAGGTGGCTTGATGACTCTCTTTGATTTGTCTCTTTCTAGCAGGTAGTCATTATCAGTCTCCTTATCTTCGACAATAGTTTTTGCTTCTTCTTCTACTTCATATGGGATACGCAATTCAACATCAACATGCTCCACCTCAACAGGAAATTCTCCCTGTTCCAGCTCTTTGTCAAAATCATCAATTTTCTTGAAGATCATCTCAACTTCATTGGAAACTACATCTCGACTGGTGATACACATTTTGTGACCTGGCTCTAAGCATCATAGCCTATAAGGTTTGACTCCTTTAGGGTATCCCATGAACATGCATTTCAGAGCTCTAGGTTTGACCATATCTTGCCTAATACTCTAAGTTTGTCGAGGCTAGGTGGATGTCCTGACCAGACTTCTTCAGGTGTTTTCATATCTAACATTGTCAAAGGACATTTGTATATCAGATATATTGTTTTCGAAACAGCCTCAACCCAAAAAACTTTCTTTAACCCAGCACTAGTCAACATGCATCTAACTCTTTCCAAAATAGTTCGATTAAAACTTTCTGCCAAACCATTTTGTTGTGAAGTACCTGTAGTAGTTTTGTGCCTCGCAATACCTGAGGCAGCATAAAAGTTGTCGAACGCCTCATTGCAAAATTCAAGGCCATTATCGGTTCTTAACCTCTTGACCTTTTTGTTAGTCTGATTTTCGACCAGAGTCTTCCAACATTTGAAATTCTCAAAATTTTCATCCTTAGTCTTCTGGATGAATACCCATAACTTTCTGGAATAATCATCAACTATGGATAGAAAATAACTTGCTCCTGAATGTGATGAACACCTTGCAGGCTCCCAAAGATCAGCATGGATGTAATCAAGGGATCCATGTATCTTTGTTTGCCTTTGTTAAACTTCAGTCTACAAGATTTTTCAAGTACACAGGGTTCACAAAATTTCAGCTTTTCGACTTTGTCTCCTCCAAGAAGATTTTGTTTCCCCAATTCGACCAGACCCCTTTCACTGACATGGCCCAATCTCATGTTCCAAATTTTTGTCTTCGGCAAAGGTTTCGTGGATGCAACATTTATCGAACCACTTACAACTTCAGCCTCAAGGGTATACAAATCTTATTTCTTCATGCCTCTCAAGACTTCCTTCAACCCCTTCATGATTCTTAGAATACTTTTCTCTCCTTGAAAAACATATCCCTTCTTGTCGAATTCACCAAGAGAAATCAAATTTCTCTTCAAATCAGGTACATACCTGACTTCAGTCAATAGCCTTATTGACTCATCATGGAGCTTGAATCTCACAGATCTAATACCTGCGATTTTGTAAGCTTTGTTGTTTTTCAGCAACACTGATCCACCATCTTGATTACATAATTACTCAAACACATTTTTGTTTGGATTCATGTGTCAAGTGCAACCTGAATCCATAATCCACTTCTTTCTTGAGTCACTGCTTGAAACCACAAGGACATCGGATGAGTCGAAGTCATCTTGAACAATGAATGTGTTTCCATTATCCTTACCTCCATGTCTTCCAGGCGTTCAGGGCACACCTTTCTTGTGTGACCCTTCTTTTTACAGTGATATCATCGAATATCAGATGCCTCGCCACTATAAGACTTTTATTGACTTTTACCTTTCTTCTTGTCGAACTTACCATCCTTTCGCAAGAATTTTCCCCTAACGGCCAAACCTTCACCAACCGTCGAAGTTTTATGCTCCTTTCGTTCGTTTGTTCAAGTCCTTAGAATACAAGGCTGATTGAACTTCTTCAAAGTTCAACAACTCCCTTCCATACAGGAGAGTTTCTTTGAAGTGAGCATGTGTTGTGGGCAAAGCGCACAACATCAATAGTGTTTGATAGTCATCATCGATCTTCACATCAATATTTTCAAGATCAATAATCAGCTTCTTGAACATATCCAACTGCTTAGCCAACACTTTGTCTTCACTTATCTTGAATGAATGCAAAACTGGCTTTAGGTAGAGTCGATTCATCAGAGATTTGGTCATGTACAAACTTTTAAGTTTCAACCATAACCCCGATACCGTAGTCTCCTTTGATACCTGTCGGAGAACCTTATCACCAAGGCTCAACAATATTGTGTTGTGGGTTTTCTCTATCATGGACGTCTTTTCAGTTTTCGTTAACGCAATGTTCATTGTTGTCTTTCCCTTCAACGCTTCCAAACAACCATGTTGAACTAGTAGGACTTTCATCTTCAAGCACCACATACTGAAATCGTTCACTCTGGGGAACTTTTCAATCTCATACTTTGTCGAAGGCATCTTCCTCCACGCTCACCGCGTCAATTTATTGTGAAATATGATGTCTTGAAACAAAGTATAAAATGTTTCTTTATGATCAAGAACTCACAAGGGTTAGGGTTAACGGAAAAAACAAGAAGAAGAACAACAAGGATTGGTTATAACTGTTATTCTTTACTTTCTCTTTATATCATATTACAAGAATTCAAGAATAACAAATAACCCTCTCACCCTAATTAGGATTTGTCACACCAAAGATAAGAGACTAGTATGCTATTTATTATAAACCTAATATACTAAACTAATGGACTTTTTAACACTTGCTCATTACAAGCTAACTTAAACAATTGGATACTTAACACAAGGTCTAATTCGACAGATACATACTATAATACATTTCGACTACAGCATGTAGGTCTTAGACAATTACATGTGAATAAACTTCGACGACATTAAGGCTGGAAATGAGTCGAGTCGAGTCGAACTCACCTCAGCTCGGCTCGACTCGTTAAGAATTGTTCGAATTCGAGTTCGAGTTCGAGTTAGACACGAACTTTTTTTTAAGCTCAAACTCGACTCGTTATAAGTTCACGAACAGTTCGGTTCGACTCGTTAGGTTCATCTCATTAGGTTCAGCTCACATGGTTCACGAACTTAAAAACTATTTTTTAAAATATATATATTTTTTAGTATATTTGACATTTTAAATAAATATATATATTTTAAATAAAATATTAAAATAAAATAAAATTTATCATATTGAAATTTAACTTTAACTTCGAAATCTACTAATTCAAAACCTACACAACTTTCAAGAGATACATTTGAGAGTCTAATTCAAAAACTACTAAATTGAAGATTAAATTTGTCTAAGATTTGAAGTAAATATTTAAACCTAATCTTAAAGACAGTATAATTCTTTTCATATGTAATCGAGTTAACTCGTGAACCTAACGAGTCGAACTATGTATAGTTCAAGTTCAGCTCATTTAGTTAACGAACTTAATTTTTCGCTCATACTCAACTCATTTGGTTCATGAACCTAGTTCAACGATTTAATTGTCGAGTCGAATTCCGAACTATCTTCGAGTTGGTTTGGTTCATTGCCAGCCCTAGACGACATACTAAACTTCTTCGACAATACTAAAGTTCTATCAAATATCTCACAAAAAAGAAATTTAAAGCAAAAGTTTAATTATTTTATGGTATTTATAATAATAAGTTCAAATGCATGAAAAGTTTGAATCTAAAGTTGAAAGTCAAACATTCAATTCATGCATAAAAAAGGTCAAATATTCAACAAAATGTAACAAACTTCATCAGAAAAATGAATAATTAAATTAGTGGTAAAATATGGTTGAAAGACAATGACAGTAAATTAAAATTGAACAATGACGATTAATAATGTAGTAGCAATCAAGTTTGAAAATTCGTACACGGTTTAATATTACTTAATTACCTACTAATATAAAAACAATCTCTTGTTTCCATAAATCAAAGTATTTTAAAAATTAAAAAAACCAAAGTATGTCGGTACTAAAATATGAAAATAT